TGGGTCATTTGAATGTGAAATGACCCAATGACCGGTCACTAGTCATTTGGGTCATTTCAGGTCATTTACCATCCCTGATCTAGTGGGGTGCGTGATGAAGGATTTCCTCAATTTTTTGTAATGTAGTAGGTGAAATGTTTCCAACACGAATTTCTTCTAGAATTTTATAAAAATCGAGGTCTTCATTGTGTCTTCTTGGAGTTGTTAAAAATAAAGGATAGAATTCTAACCAGACTGGGGAGTGAAAAACCTGGGTTCCGTTTACTGGTGGTAGTTGATAGAGATCACCGATTAAAAGAATTCTAATTCCACCAAATGGTAAGGAGTTATTGTGCAAGCGGGCAAAAAGGTTACTGATAAAAGTTAATAAACTATGGATATTTCATCGATTATAATAACATCAATTTGTGAAAGTTGTTGGCGGTACTCTTGTTCGTATAGTGCTAAGCTTTCAAAATTAGCTGCTGTTGAGCGAATTTTTAATTGCGAGTGAATTGTTTTGCCATTAATATTAAGTGCTGCAACGCCTGTTGGCGCCATTATTATGAATTTTTTGTGTTGTGATCTAAGATGATTTATAATCAATTTTATTAAGTATGATTTTCCAGTGCCGGCTGGGCCAGTTAAAAAAAAATACGGATGACCATGTTCGCCAACTTTTCCCCAAGCAGATGTTAACACATTAAATACCAAGTATTGGTCAGAGGGTGTTTCTAATAAAGATTGGCGGGGAACTGGTGGGTGAAAATTCATTAAGTTTTCTAGTTGACTTCGAATTGCTAATGTAATGTCTTGGGGCATGTGATTTACAATTCTATCTATTATTTGTTGATAGTTATGCGAGAATCTAAGAAATTGAACATTTGAAGATTGACGAGTGAGTTGTACAGATCTTGCGTATTGTTCAGGGAATTTTACTTGGTAATGAGCTCGATAATCATGATAATGAGCAAGTATTTCATGCTCAACTTTCCAGGGAAATTGAGTTAGCAATTGTTGATAAAAAAACGGTTCACCGTCATCAACAGTTAATCTATGAAGTCGAACTAAAATAGGTTTTTTCTTTTGATTATGAATTTTCCTTGTTGGTCAATCCAGAAATTTGTATTTAAATTTGGACGATTAAGCTGTATTCGATAATTCTTATGGTAGTTGGGATATGTAATATTGTCGAAGTGCGTATCATTTGGCCTTGAGAAGTATTTATCAATGGCATCTTCCCAGTAAGGATTTAAGTTGTTCTCCTCTAATAGATAAATAGGTTTTACTGATCTTGATCTTATGTTAGGCGGTAAAGATTGTAAGTATTGAACAGCGATTGAAGATCGGCAGATTGAGTATCCGAGTAGAAGGATTGTTAGTTCCATCGATCCAAGTCTTCGAGCTAGGATGTGAGAACGGTAAGCACTATGCTCTCTTAAGTTGAATAGTTCGGGTTGTTCTGGTTTTGTTATATATTTAGTCATATACTTCGCGAAGGATTTAGAGGAAACGTATTGAAAATTGCAGTGACCTTGCCATAGTAATAGGGTTGGTGCATGATAAGGTATGATCCACCTATCTTCTTCTTTTGTTCTTCGATAAATATAGTGCAGTGAAGAGGATTGAAAATAAGTGTATTCTGATAACGGGGCGGGAAATTTTTTGTTACATTGTTCACCAGGAAGAGGTGGTCCACCACATTTATTAGGCCGACAGTGATGAATTTGGTGGGTGCGAACTAAATCATAGAGTATCAATTCAGTTTGCGGATCAGGCAGATCGGCTCGAATAATGTTATTGAGTATTAATGTTGAGGTTGGTGTATCGAGAAAAGCTATACCATGAGTGTGTATTGTTCCGCGATTTTGGAATTCGTCTCTTTCAAAAAAATGTAGCCAACGACCCCATTCAGCTAAGTTAGGTTTTTTCCATAATAAATTGCGAATGGAATTTAGTTTATGATGGTAATGAAGATAGGTATGTACAGGACGGTTTGTTGGTATAGTAGAATGATTATCAGTACAGGATAAAATTTTTTTTAAGTGACGCCAACGTCCTTCAGCCATAGTCATAGTATAGAAAATTTGAGGTAATCCAAGACTTTGAACCATCGTATTGATCGAATGTTCGCGTTGACGGAAATAAGTATTTCCTGTTCTAATATATGAAGGAGTCGTGGTTGTTAATGTTTCATTTATAATTGGGCGATTATTATAAATACTTCGATCAATCAAATCTGCAGTGGTCGGGAGCCGTTGACGATTCATTGTTTTTTGGAGTATAATACGCTGTTTATTTTGGTGATTTCTTAATTTTTCTAGGTTTATATAAGACCAATGTGGCCAGTACCAATGAAGTCGAAAACGAGGATCAGGGCATAGCATGCGTAATTTGATATATTTACAATATGTATCGATTTTGTGCCTGCGATCTGATATATTATTAGAGAGTTCACCCCAATGGCCGTGACCATCCGGGAAGAGGTCAGGAAAAAGAATCGCTTCTATATTCGGATCGTTACATTTAATTGGAAGTTCTGTATTATCGGAAGTTAAAATGAATCCAGCCATTAATCTATCGTAACGAAAGTCTTCATTATGAATTTCAGGTGAAAAATCATATGGTGGTATCACTAAATCTGGATAATGGTGCGAAGTTGTAGTATTAACTATTGTGTTTTCTTGATTACGAATTAACGATGCAGAAGGTAAAGGGATGGGAGTGTGAATGCTGTAACCTGATATAATTACGTGGTTAAGTGAATGAAGAAACGGATTATTAATTTTTAACCAATTAATGGCATGTAATAAAGAAGGGCGGAACCAGTTATTGTTAGTATCGGGATCTAGAATTGCACCCAACGTTCAAGAGTATAAATGTAATGCACGAATGTTTTTTGATAAACCGAATTGTCCAGTAAGGTGTCGATAGTGTGTGAATTGATTAACGTTTTCTGCACGTCCTAAAGAGCAATTTAGATGAATCGGAGATAGCCATCGACGATGAAACATCGGAACATTTGTTAGTACTTCTGGAATTGGCGTTAAAATTGGTGCTTGGCGACGTTTAGCGACAGTTTTACAAGAAATGCAAACTGCAATATAGTTCGGTTTATTGGGGTGTTTAGTGAGAGATAAATCTGGAAATGCTATAAGGAGGTTGTAGGTCTCATTATTATCAAATTCAACCCATTTAGCTTGTTTTGGAAACATAAGGATTGAGCAGTGCGAGCAAGGAACACATGGGAACATGTATAAAATTTCATTTTGAAAAAGGTTATTAACACGGTCTAAAGCTTGAGAAGGTTGCCACGGTGAAAAGGATGTTGCTATAATGTTTGGTTGTAACGAGGTGTGTAAAGAAACAGTTTGCGAATAGTTTGGATCGATAGTTTATAATAATTCTTGGGTCGAAGAAAGATCTAAGTTTAATTCATCATAATTAGTTTCATCATACAAGTTTTCATTTTCAATTGTAGTGGAGATTATTTGAAGAGACATTGTTTTTAGTTTATTGAAATATCAAGTAAATTTTGTATAAGATTTGTACGTGTAAGTGAAGTTCTTTTGTTGAGATTTGAAAGTTATTTATATTAAAGATTTTTAATAAAATATACTAAGCAATTGTTAATTTTATCAGCGTCAGAATATTTATCTTTATTTTATAACATGATAAATAATAATTATGATATAGTTCGTAATTAATACACGTAAAATTATTTTAAAGAAAAAAAAAATTATCAGCGTCAGAATATTTATCTCTATTTATCTCTTAAATCATTAATTTAACCTTGGATATAGACTAAAATTCAATATGATTTGATAAATTAATCACAAAATTTAAGATTATAAATTATTTTGTATCAGTCATGCATTATTAAAAAGATTTTGACGTTAATTAATTTAAAATACGTGTAAACTTATTATCAATTATCTTAAAGAAAAAAATTTAACTTAGTTATTTTAGTTTTATATGAAAATATAACATTAAGCATGAAATATTTTAGACTTTATTAAAATAGGAGAGAATAAATTGTCACAGTTCAAATATTTTATTTTATGCTCATGCTTCCTTTATTTATTCTTCTGCATCTTTTTTTTTTTTGGTTTCTTTTCTTGTTCAATTATTTCTAATTGATCTTGATTATTTTCCAGTTCGCTATTTTCATATTGCTCTTCTTCGTTTGCTTCAATTTCTTCAGGTTGATCAGTAGTTAAGCCGAGAGAATCCAATGCTAAATCAGTCACTTTTTTTTTTCCTTTTCTGCTTGTGGCGATCTCGGCATTAACGAAAGTGGATTGTTCAGAGGGAGTAGTCGAGGTTAAACTTGTACTGTAACTAGTAGCGGTGGGCATTAACTTTCGTCGCTTTTTTGTTAATTGAGCATTAGTTGACCTAAATTCATCAGCGATTTGATTAATTTCTGTACGTGTAGTTGACGTAATTGAAGGGTTTTCAGCCACATCGTAATTTGTATTGAAGGATGACAAATAATCTATGTCAGTAGCTTCAATTGTTATAATATTTGGGTTTTCAAATTTAATAAAACCGGCCACTACAAATGATCGACCTATTTTAATACGATCATAAAGATGTTCAAATCGAGTGGCTCGAGCAGGATAAGAAATTATTATTTCCATTCGGACTTCATGCGTGGTAAAGGAATTATATACACGAGATTCGGCTCCAAAATAAATATTCTCGTTTCGAAGTTTTGGGCCGTGTTTGATTATTACAGGAGACATGTAATGCGGGACGCAGAGGGGAATTTCATCAGGTTTAAACGGATCTTCAGAATCACCAATTCCGATAATATTAGCATAAGCAACTGTAACGTATTCGACCCCATCTTCAATTATAAACTTTCCTATAAAAGATAGTATATCACCCGGTGAAAATTCTATTCGAGGTTTATTAAACGGGTAAAAATATTTCCACCTAATTGTTTGAAAGACATCTTTGTCAGATTGATACTTCGCCAAGCCTTGCGCAAAAGAAGTTCTATCGTCTTTAGCGGTAATTAGAACGATTAAAGAACTATGTGAAGGCATTTAGTTGAGCTTTCCTTATTTAATTATTAATAATGCAAAAAAATATTTCAATAATCAAGATCAGGGTAAATATTTAAAATATTTTTAATTCAGGAACAGAAACGTATTTATTTTCTTTAAATTTCAATTATTTTATTTTTTTTTCTTGTGAATTGTGAATTTATGTTTTTTAAATATTTTAAAGTTAATACTAACAAACTAATTACGTATGGTAAGTCGCCATGAATTAACGATTATTGCAGTATTCGTGGCGATCTTCATATATTGATACGTATAATAAATACAGTAATCGTGGCGATGTTCATCTATTGATTTGATACATATATAATCGATTTAGCATAAATAAACAAATTTTGTTTATTATTAATAAAATAAGCGACACAATACATAATTTTATTAAAAGACATGCGATCCAATAAATTCTAAGGAATGCAACAATATCAATATTTTACAGTAATAAATCACGAATTATTATTTATTTTTTAAAATAAAATGCTGTGGAAATTTTCATTAATCGACACGTAGCATGATTTATTAACGACATTTCGTGTCTGTTTTATTAACAAAACGCATACAAAGACAAAATATGGTTTTAAAGTGAAGATAACAATAACTTTGTTAGCAAAATGAGTATACTATACACGATAACAATATAATAGTTCTCAATCGACAAAGATAAACTTTTCAAATTTTAATTTTACGGTTTTCTTACCGTGTTCAGTTTTATCTCAAATACCAAGCCACAATATTAATTTTCTTATAAATACGACCCGAATTCGATTAAGAATTTTTGGGGAGTGGTGCCAAATTTAGAACGTAACGCACTAGTACGTTATGCACGTTACGTACTAAAATGCTATATAAAAACGTTTTCAACGGGCATTTCCTTTTTTGTTCAAATAGGCAATGTGGCTGCTCACGAGGAGACACAAAATCACAAATCAACAAATTAAAACATTTCTGATAAAAGAAATTGGAAAATCCGGAAAAAACAAACACAAAACAAAATCATATATCGTTAAATAAAATTAAAAATAAATAAAAAAAATAAATAAAAAATATACAAATAATAAACTTTAATCCAATACTCCAATCACTTCGATTTGTCTCTTCCATCCAGGCCCCTAATTTGGATTGAAGAATTCCATTCCCTTTTTCTACCATTCCTTGACAACGCGGATTTCTTGGTCTACCATGAACGAGTTTGATAGTAGGCCAAAAGTTTAATGTCTCCTTAATTATTCTTGCAATGAACTCACCACCATTATCAGAATGTAATACTATAGGTGGACCATATGTCATACAGAAATTGAATAAACAAGCTGCAGCTTCTGCGGCTTCCTTAGATTGTGAAGGTTCCGCATATGAAAATCTGGAAAAGTGATCTCTAATATGAAATATATATTTGTACATTCTATCTGGTGTTGATGTCATATCGATAGTATCAATCTGTAAATAAAATTTTTTAATTAATTAAAAAAAAAAAATAAAAAAAATAAAATACAATTAATGTTTACCTGCACGTGATGCAAAAATCCTTCAGAAACTATTGGCCGAATGGGTGGAATCTTTATAAAGGCTCATCTAGTAATACAAACTTTACATTCACGAACAGCATCTTCAACAATCTTTTGTGGAATATAACAATACCGCATTCGAATCTTTTTATTTGTATATAAAATTCAATAAAAAAATTCAATAAATAATAAATAGATAATAAATAATACTACTAATAATAATAATAAATAAAAACCTTTCTTCATGTTTTATCATGACCAGCATGCTCCGTTGCTTGATGTGCGGCACAGATTACCTCATAAAAGTTTTCAACAGGACAAACTTGTGTCCCCAGGTCATTTTCAATTGGTTTAATTCTTCAGTAGCACCAACGTTAATAATTTTAAAATTATGAGTTACCCAATATTTAAATTTTGGGTTCTGTAAGTCGTTGGGATTTTTAAGTACAGTTAAGCATTGATTATATTTATTTTGATCCATTAAACAGCGATTGTTTTTCCTTTGATGAATAAAAGTTTCTAATATTCGATCAAAGGTTTCACGCGCCAGAAAGCTATAACGTTCCATTTTAACAAATTAATAAGAAAAAAAGAGAGTTGTATTTAAAATTAAACATCGTTTTATTTTCTTTGTTCTTGCATTAATTAATTTGACATACGTAATACATTTGTAGTATAATGAAAATTAATAATTCTGGGTTCTAAATTTTTATTAGGTTTCGGGATCAAGTGATGACCCCTTCTTTTTGGACGTTAGTAGCTCACCCACAAAAAATTTTCCGGCCATGTGACTTTTTTATGGCACTAGCCACTTATATTTCGAGATCAGGTGTAACGTGAAAATCAAAACAATCAAAACAATCGAATAAAACAAAAGAATTAAAGTAAT